ATGCACCCTGCAAAGAAAGCTTCAAATCGGCGGGAAATTCTCCCTTGCACCGGGATTCTCTTTTGCAGCAGAAAACTCCACTGTGCAAGGAAGCTTGCAATTTAGCGGGGACAATTTAGCAGTGCCGAAGCACACACAAATAAAAATCACACCTTTTGGGTTGTGACACTCTCCAACCACAAAACAGTCTCTAGAAGACCATTCTAGCCATCATGAATTAGAATTGCCCAGGGGTTGATTTAGTCAGTTAGGCTACTGGTTGCCTTCAGAATTAGGGAACAGATAAAAGTGGTTTAGTCACCTTCAACTTTCTCCTCACTATTAAATGCAGAAAGCATGAGCTGAGACTTATACCTGGACTGTCCCACAGACAGCTGATAAAATTAATTAAAATAATGAGTTAAAAGAACATGAAAATGGAGGGAAATGGATACTAAAAATAACAGCTTCTTTATTGTTTTTCAGCAATTATTTTTGTGGAATATCGATTCTCAGTCTTGCAGCTTCACTGTGGACCAGTTTTTGGTCGAACTGAAGGCTGGAGGGATAAGTGAAGAACACGAGGCAGCTGTACAAAGGGAACTGCAACATATTAAAAAACTAGATGTTCTGGATTTCCTTACTTACCTGCCACTCTTTGTTCTTATCCATAACTCTGTCATTGCCAATCCACTGGATGATTCAAGAACAATTTAACAAACTACGTCAACTCTAGCAGAAGGGAAGTTGGTTTGTCATGAAGACTCTTAAGGCTATGTCTATATGTACAGCTTCCCTGTCTAGCCCAGGAAAACCACCAAAAAGACAAGCACCGTCCACTCACTCCCACTTCTCCTGTGCCCACATCTAACAGTTAGGCAGAACAGACAAATCAGTGTACACGGCTCTCAGGTTTTCTTAAGACAAAGGACTTGAGAGGATTCCTGAGCCCTTCTTTCTCCTTTGACTACATACCAACCTTGGGTGCTGGCAGATTGGGAGTGAGTGAATGGCCTTGTTTCTTAGTAGGCTCAGCAGAGAAGTGAGGAAGACATAGCGTCAAGCGAACATTTTCTTTTAAACAGCTCTGACTGTCTTTGTAAAGACAGACAGGAACTACACTGGGGTAGCTCTGCAACAAAAGTGCAGTTCAAACCAATACAGTGATCCATGTAAATAAATCAAACCCCAGTCTGCAGCCCTCAGTCATATTAAGTAGCCCTTGCAGGAGCAAATCAGATAGAGGCTGGGGTACTGAGATTTGCATCGACAGTTTACTCAGTGGGAATGTAAATTTGAGGGTGGAATTGGCACACGTGACAATTGTCTGAGCTGTAGCCCTCCTCAAAATGTACTTAAAATTAAATGAGACAAGTCCATGTAAAAAAAATGGAGACATACAATCAAGGAAACCCATTTCTATATATGAAGGGCCAGATTGTCAAAAGTTCTTGGCAACCATGATTGCTCTCAAGCTGGCTACTTCATTTAGGTGCCTGAAATGGAAAGAGCTGGTTGTGGGCTCTTCAAAAATTGGATCTGTTATTATTATATGTTAAAGAACTTTTTTAGAGCAAAATTATAATGCCCTAGTAGTACCTTTCTTTTTCTTTATTTGGTTAAGCAATTTACTGAGATAGACATGTAACTACTGAGTGTCATCAGGTTGTTTCTATTATCTAATAAGAAACTAGATGAAAGTTGAATTTTGCCTTTTCAACTAACATTTGAGATTCTCTGTTTATTTTTAAAATGGCAAGAAGCCAAGTCAAATAAACAAGATCTTGTATGGGCTAGTCAGTCACAGGGGAATTTGGATTTACCTAATTGGGTAAAAATCAAAAAGGATATTCCAGACAATAGCAGTTCCCAGAGGGATTGCAAGGATTTTGACTCATTAGGAAGTCATTCACCATGTCATTTGGTGCAAAGGCAGCTCTGTAGATGGCCGTCCCTAGGATGTTACTACAGACTCAGAAGAACCTTCAGGTTTGTTTGCAGTGGGAGTTTTGCTTTCCTAAGTCCTGGCACATCATAGGAGGTTAATTGTATTTTGTACCAGCCACAGGCCCTAGTGAAAAACACCATGGGCAGATTCTTAACTGGTGGAAAGCACTTGAAGTTCTGGCGGTATATATTGGATATATCATAGCAAGTGTCTTTGCTTACACTGCAATCAGAATTCAGCAAATACAGAATCGGTATATTAATTCCCTTAAACATTGATTGAATATAGATGGATTTAGGCTTTTAAATACATGGCTAGATTATTTAAGTAATAAGGTAACACACTTTCACTAAAATTATAGGTTGACTTAATCATATGCTATACTGATCAATCCATTGTGAAAACAGTTGAATCAATATCTTATCACATTATTGCAAAGTGTGCTTATAGCATATTAGATTACGAGTAGCTGACTGAAATTCAAAAGCAGCTGAATCAAATTCCTGACAAACATTACTTGTACAATTTAGAAAAAGGTAATGCTACTCAGTTGTGTAGATTTGTTTCTAATTCATATGAAAGTTGTTTGTTTAAATCTAAGGCGTGCAATTTTTAAATACAACACTAACTCACCTGGGAATTCTACCTACAGCACTTGGTGAAAAGCTGTCACACAAAAATAAATCCATAGCATCTCTTCCATTATAATTGTGCAATGTTTTTTGTTCTGCTCCAAAAATACTAATATATTTATGGTGTTGGTCTATCAGCTCTAATTACAGAAACATGAAAGTTATAGCTAAGGTAATGTGAACTCTTACATCTGTGGTATTCATACTCTGATCCATGTATGATCAGGTCCCATTATAAGGAGATACAGACTGAAAGGCAGAGCCTGCCTCATTGAGTTTATAATGTAAGTAGACAAGGTAGACAAAATATTACCAGCCAAACACAAAATATGCAGCACATCAAGGACATAGTGTTTGCCAGTTGTCATTTGTTTTCACGTTAGAGTGTTTGAAATAGGCCCATTTTTCACATGTAGGTTTTTAATTAAATGATGTTATCGATCACGTCACCAAATCAGTTAGCAGAATGTTTCATGTATTGAACAAATATTTGTGGGTAAAAGAAACACACTGATAATGTTTTGGATTATTTTTTTAAATATTTAAGAAGCAGGAATTGTTTGCATAAAATGAGAAATTTAACAATGACAGCAATTGCTCGTGAAAAAAACCCTGTTCTCAAACAAAGCCAATGTTAAACATGAAAAGTACCCTTTGAACAATTCCACAAATTCTAACAGGTTTGCTTCTCTACTTTTCCCCCCTTTTATTTTCAGTTTCCCCAAGCTAATCTCTTTCCCCCCTGCTTTCTTTCCCGCCCCCCCCTGTGGTGTCACCGTTAGTCCTGCTCATCCAAAGTAGTTTCAGGCTCAGACTGGGTCAAGGAGAAAAGAAAATAAAGACACAAAATGGGCCAAAGCGGCTAGAGGCATCTCTCTGCTGCTTCCTACATTCCCATGGGTGGGGTATAGCAGGGTTTCCTTTGAGAGAGGGCAGGGTTCGATATAGGGTTTTTTTGCCCCTGTAGTTTGTGGCAGTGGCTCCCAGCTAGCTAATCACTTGATTATGGAATTAATCAGTGCCTGAGGAGGTGATGCCAGACTAGTATGGTGGCACTCTTGATTCTTTCTGTGCAGCTTGCAGGCAAATTTTCTCCTTCCTTGAAGGGATCAGCAGAGTTTACAGTGATTTATTTTAGATTTTACCTGCCTCAAATTAGTTTCCTTGCCTTTTTACTTTTTAACTGTTGCATTTTCAGAATGGCATCTTTAACTAGAAATTCTTGATCAGTTTTTCTCATTGGTATCTTCTCAGTAGTTTTAAGGAAGTGCTACAGAATAGATCTCAAATCTGCTCCAGGTTCCAGCATTGCAGTACAATAGTGAGCCCTGTCTCCATTATTACATCCAAATTGTTTGCTGAATGATTTTAGTGGCAAATAGAAGGAGAAGAGGCAAGGACAATATAGGCTGGGGCTTTCTAGACAGGCCTTGTATAGACTAGCCTGTATATTCTCCTGCAGGCTAGTAAGTCTGATAGAAACAGAAACACTTGATTAATCCATCTCCCTGCAGTCATCAGTTTTACACCTGCCACAAGAGAACTTCCTCAATATATATATTCTATGGAACCCCTGCAAAATATGCCTTGGAGCTGCCCAAAAAATACCATTAAGGGCCGAAGTTATAATCAGACGTAGTGGTATCATGTCACATAAGGGAAGCATGCAAGGCAATGCCAGCTGCTGGCAAGGAATGTTTGGACTACTGCCTTTCATGGTAATGTTCGCCCTCTTGGCACAATATGTTTATGAAAGATCAGCACGAGAGTTGGTGCCTAATTGTAATAAACCACCAGCAAGTATACTGTGCAACTGATTCACTTATCTCCTTTTCCCTTTTCTTCACTTCATCCTTCTCAAAAGTCAGGAGAAACTATCAGTTCCATAAAGCAACTGGAGATGATACATTTCCTTCTCCCTTCCTACACCTGTCTTGTCTGTTTAGACTGTAAGCTCTTCAGATGTCCATTCAATAAGCCTGTGTGAGTCAGCAGCAATCCGATCCAGCTTTGGATCTGGCCACTTTGGATGGCCATGATCCGATCTGGAGCTCCGGACCAGGTTTCCGCCTCGATTCGACCGAAGCAGCTCCGAAGGTTCAGAGCTGCCTTGGAGATCCAGCCATAGGGTATAATGGGGAATCAATGAAATATCTATAACTTTGTTGTTTTTTGTCCAATTTGGGTGAAACTTGCAGGGGTGGTAGCCTCTGCTGATAGCATGAAATCTGCCAAGTTTCAAGAAGACCAGTGCAGGGGTTTTGGGGCAACTGTACCCCAAACTCTTGACTCCTGTCACAGCTGTGTGTTACACCACAGGAAGTCAAAACTGCAGGGCTGGTAGCTCTTACTGAGGCCACAAAGCCTGCCAAGCTTCAAGGAGATCGGTGCAGGGGTTTGGGGGGGACTGCACCTCAAGCTGTGGACAAGCAAAACTGGTGCCACGTGTGACACTGCGTGTGTTATTGCTCAGCGGGGTGACAGCTGCAGGGATGGTGGCCCTTGCTGAGGCCATGACGCCTGCCAGCTGTCGAGGAAGTCGGTGCAAGGGGGTTCTGGGGCCCTGCACCCCTAGCTGCTGACCCATTATACCCTATGACCGGATCTCCAAAGTGCTTCGGGAAGACTAACGAAGCCAGCGCTTAGACCCGGATGCGCTGCTTCAGACCCCGAAGCGTCTGAAGCTTCTCCAGATCTGAAGCTCTGTCCGAAGCCTCGCACAGCCCTACCATTCAAGTGTGCACATTTGTATCATGCCAGACAATGAATGGGGCCTCTCTTTCATGTAGCATTGCTGACGTGACTCAATACAAATATAGGCATCCCGCATCTTACATGGGGGCTACGTTCTAAAGGCAGTGTGTAAAGGCAAAAATCGTGTATAGTGAAATCGCATATTACCATGCCAGCGGTGACTGCCTCTGCCTCCAAAACCTCCCGCCGCTGCCGCAGAGCCGTGCTTAGAGCTGTGTGGTCAGCGGCAGCGGTGCAGTGCGGGGTGGTGGTGGGGATGGCTGCGTGCCGCCCGGCCACCACCATGCCCAGTGGCCGGCCTCACATCTCCGGGCACGGCTCCATGGCGGCGGTGGGAGGTTTTGGAGGCAGAGGCAGTCACCACTGGCAGCGTGGTGGTGGCCGGGCCTCTAGGTAAGCGGCAGCACCGCATGCAGACTCAAGCCTGGCCCAACCTCCCTACCCGCGTATAGTTGAATTCGCTCAAGTTAAATGCGTGTAAGATGCAGGATGCCTGTAATAAACAATGATTCCTTAGACTGCCATATTTTTCTAGTTTAATGTTGGGGTTCAGGCTGGGTCTATGCACCACTCCTAACAGGTATTTGCAATATACACAGTGCTACTTGCAAATCTTTCTCAAAAGTAC